AAAAACCAAGAAAAAAGAAAATTAAAACAAAGGCAACCCCCCCACACACAATTTCATACCTGCCCTCCCACTTCACTTTTCAATACTTATTTTTCAAGTTTATTCCATTATCCCTCCCAAAGTCTGACATTCTTTCTTCTTCCCAACACGTCATGAAGATTTCTCCACTTTTCTCCTTCCCATCCAACTTTTCTTCACAAATGCAACATATATTTTCTCACAGCTTCTATAGTAATTGTACTGACCTGGAGGATTGCTTAATCAGATAGGAAAGTTTCCTTTGATGGACTGATAAATTTCTACTCAATGCAGCAGAAAACTGGTCCAATGTCCTTCCCCTGCATTTTTCCACCTTGTTACTGGAGTGTATAAACCAGTTACTCGTTCCTTTGCATTTGCTTTAAATCAGTTTGCTTTCAAAGCTTGTTTCAAAAGGAAAAGGAACTTTGTGTATAATGGAAGAGACATAGTCCAACAAGACTCAGAGTGCTTTATTAACAAAACCTCAAATTCCCTTCAGCTAATTAGAAAAATAAATTAAGCTGAAGAGAGAGAGAAAAAAAAAAATCACAAAGAAAACAGCATTTATTTTAAATGACATACTGATCAGTAAGTATTTGTGGACTCATAGAAAAACCTATGTAACTTTTGTATAAAATAGCATAAAATACTAAAAAAATTACAATGTTAAAGAAATAAAATTTTCTACTCAGATGCCATTTGGTTTCATAATTACACTTTTCAAGAGAATACTGTCCTAGAAAAAGTATGCACATTCAAAACAAGCAATAACAATCTACACTATATTTAAAATATATATATTTTCAGACTACAGTCACTGATAAATACTTAAGTTGAGGCTTCTAGAAATGACTCAAAATTACCAGAAGTTTGGAAAAGCTAAATCTAAAACTCTTCCCTCTCAGATAATTAAAATCAGAAATAGCAAAGCTAAGCATAATATTTCTTTACTAGTACGGGCTCTGGGACTGGGTTGGCTAAAAAGCTCTTAGCATAATTTAGGGGTGCGACAAACACTTTTGTTTTGTGTTCAGGGGCTAACAAACAAACCCCAAAATAAAGTAGATCAGCCTCAAAACTGTCATCAGGCAAGTAGATTAAGGGAAGCTGAAAACAGCAAGAATAAGGTAATAACGAAATGTCTAGCATTTGACCTTATACTATCAGGGTATTCTCCTATGGAGGAAGAATCTTCGGACAACTAGTTAAGACGATTCAAACCCACGTTGCACTGATAGAATGGTGGAAGTCAGACTTAACCTTTCGGTGACTCTTGCCAACAGCAATCTATATAGAATAAATGATCCAGAAATAAAAACTGGTAATTGATCAAGGCAACTAGATATTTTTTTGAGAAAGAAAATAAATATGAAAGAAAGCAGGCTAGAAGCATTGTAAGAAACATTTATGAGGCTGACAGCTTAAAAGAAATTAAGCATTTCCTATTCGGTCATTCCAGTTGTTCTTATGAAGATCACTAGTTTGCAAGCAGATGCCATACAAAAAAGTCCTAAAACCATTAAAGGAACATTAAAAAGCATTCAGAAGTTAAAATATACCAAAGTTAAAGCTGGATGCTTGAGATGAATTATACCCTACATAGACTATGGTTATCAAAAATGAAGCCTGTGGACTGTACATGGCCTGCAAGGCTCCATCATTTGGCCCCTGATGCTGCCCCTGGGTCTGAATGGACCCACATGTTATACCAGCCCTGAGGCACAGGGCCCAGGATGCACACTGCATGCAGCACCCTCCCCACTGCTTTCCCAAGACCACTCTGGAAGCATAGCACATGCAGCACATGTCCTACACTGGCCAAGGTCTGCAAGGAACACTGCAGATCTTTGACTTCATGCTGCATGAGCTAGATCTGCCATGGGCCCAAACAGCCTCGTGCAACTCATCCGGCCCGTGGGTTTGATACCCCTAATAAACAATACATCTGAGCTGTAAAAACAGTAATAAACAATGCAGTCATTTGATGAAGTTTAAAATTTAGACAACTTACTATTAGGACTGTAAGAAGCTTCGGTTGCTGATTCCATTCAGAGGAGATTCGGCACGATTCGGCAGCTGAATCTCCCAATTGGGAGACCAATAAAAAGGTCCGAATCAATTCGAGGCCTCCAAATTGATTTGGAAAAGATTCAGAGAGACTGGGAGATTCAGGCAGTCCCTGCTCGCCGCTGCAGAGCTGGACCCGAACTTCATGCCAGTAAGTAGGGGGTGGAGGGCTGGACAGGGGCAGAGGGGACCATGGGGAGACCCCCGCCAGGCCCCATCCCCTGCTTGCTCCCTCAGACATCCTGAGCACCCCCCCAGACCCCCACCTGCTCTCCCAGCCCCATTAATGGCTGCCCCTCCTGGCCCCAGTGTCCCGGCACTTTTTTTTCCTTTTCTTTTAAAGCCCCACACTCACCAGATGCTGCAGCAGCCATCGGGGCCTCTGGGAGCTCATGACAGACCCCCCCCATGCAACACATGGCAGCGGGGATCGCCCCCTGCCCCGGCCTGGCAGGAGCCGGTGAGTGTGGAACTTTTTTTTGTTTATTTGTTTGTTTTTTAAGTGCCAGGACACCGGGGCTGGACGGGGCAGTCATTGACAGGGCTGGGAGAGTGGGCAGGAGATGGGGCCTGT